TGTTGGTGTTGGAGGAAAAATGGCATCACCCCAATCTCTCATTCCTGAACTGGGGATCTCAACCCCTGCTGTTCAGCTAGCCCTTAAAGGATAGCGAGGGCAGTCAGCTTGCCCTGCACCGCAGTCATCCTGAGCCTTCCCTTTGGCACTTGGCTGGGATTCTAAACCTGATGTCTTAAAGGACCTGGCACCATGTGGGTCTGCTCCCATCCTCTGGAGTAGAGCCTCTCCACCATGCTGATGAAAGGCCTCTGGCTGGCTCCTGCAGGGTCTCTTGTCCTTGGGGAGGCAGTAAACCCTCTTCTGAAAGCACTCCAGAAAGTGGACTGTTCTCTCCTAGTGCGCCCCGAGGTTGCTACACCACGCTATGTGCTGCAGGACCAGCTCCCTCCTCTCTAGGAGCATGCCCCACGACTCTGCTCCAGAGTGGTGCACTTCCTGAACCTCAGAGTTTCACCTCCAAAGCCTGTTTGCAGACAAAGAGCTGGGGCACTCAGAGCTTCTCTCTCCCCCGTCCGTAGTCCAGAGAGGTTTTCCTCTTGTGCTCACTTGATGCCACACCCTTACAACCCCTCTCTTTCTCTCCTTTTTTGTTTCTCCACAGAAAGGGTTCCCTCTCCTCCATAGTTCTGCTGCTTTATCTCCCCCAATACACATGTACACACCTCAGTCCTGCCAAGCTGTTTCCCTCCAGCTGTGGAGATCCTTCTGCCACTCCACAGATTGATTTCCTGGGTGTTCCAAGTGATCTGATCTCACTACAGCTGTGTTCGAGGGACAAGGAAAATCCAGGTCCCCCTACTTCTCCACCATGTTAACTCCCCCAACTCCCCCCAGAAGATTACCTGTTGAAATGAGTGTGGGAGCAGTGACATCCAAGGTCCCTTCTAACCAGCCTTGTTCACTGGATCAACCCAACACCGATCACAGGACCAGCAGAGGAGCCAAACCCACTCAGTGTCCCTGTGAAAGCTTCTCTTGCTTGGCCATAGAGCAGGTGCCAGAAGGCAGGTTGGCGGGCTGGTGGGCAGAAGAAGGGGGCTGGTAGCCCTGAGGAAACTTATGGTGATGGCCACTGAGCAGGTGCAGGACAGTGTGTGGGGGTGGAAAGTAGGGGGTGATGGGGAGGCAGCAGTCTAGCAGTGAGGACAGGTTGTACAATGAAAAGGAGCCTGGGCAGCAAATGGGGGCCTGGCTGTGTAGTGCATTAATGTACTTCCTACACTTAAAACTGTAAGATGAAGATAGTTTTAACTTCACCAATACACAAAATCCAGTTAATTGTATACCACCTATTTTCTGTTCTCCAACACTAGATCCTCTAGTCTATTTTTGTCTTTAGTGTGTATGAGGTTCCTCTCTGTAAAAACCCTATTGGATCAGTCTTTGCTTTTCTAATTACTCTTTTCCACTTAGTTGCTATCCTGGCCATATTGTTGATTCTTTATCTATGTGTTTATTTAGAATTAACTTCAGTTAGCTGAAGTTAATGTCTTGCTACCCAAAATACTTGTGTCTCCTCTTGCATTTGGCATTGTGTTAAATGATACAACCTTTTTACGAGGCTGCAGTTACAGAGTTACACTCTATGAGATATCCTCAGTTGATAGCTAAAGGGGGCACTAGGAAGGTCGTTATTTAAAGAAGAAGTAAGCAGCATGATATATTGGAAAAAGGAAGTCTTATCTTTAGACAGACCCATATCAGAATCACATTTCTCTACTTAAATTAGATCTGTGACTAAACAAATGTCTTAACCTTTCTAAAGTCTTTTTTTTTTATTTTAATTACCTACCAATTTTATTATGTGATTTTATTTTGAGGAGCTTACTGACATAGAGTCCCACAGAGCAATGTAAAGGTCTGATTTTCCTGTATTAAATTTGAAAAAACAAAGTTCAACAGAATTTTAAAAATATCTTCTAAATTTAGTTTCTTTTTTTTTAGATTAACCTTATTTTATTTTATTTTTTTATTTTTTTTTTTTACAAATAGTTTATTGTCAAATTAGTTTCCACATAACACTCAGTGCTCTTCCCCGCAAGTGTCCTCCTCCATGCCCATCCCTCCTCCCCCCCACATCCATCAGTCCTCAGTTGTTGTCAGCATTCAAGAGTCTCTCATGGTTTGCCTCTCTCCCTTTCCCCCACCATTTCCCCCCTTCTTCTCCCCCATGGTCCTCTGTCAAGTTCCTCCTAATCCTCCTATACGTTCAAACATATGATATTTGTCCTTCTCTGCCTGACTTATTTCGCTCAGCATAACACCCTCAAGGTCCATCCATGTTGCTACACATGGCCAGATTTCATTGTTTNCTCTTTCCATGTTTTAGCTATTGTGGAGAGTGCTGCTATGAACATTGGGGTCCATGTGCTCCTATGCCTCAGCATTTCTGTATCCCTTGGGTAAATTCCTAGCAGTGCTATTGCTGGGTCATAGGGGAGTTCTATTGTTAGTTTCCTGAGGAACCTCCACACTGTTTTCCAGAGGGGCTGTACCAGTTTACATTCCCACCAAGAGTGTAGGAGGGTGCCCGTTTCTCCACATCCTCGCCAGCATCTTCAGAGTTCTCTGATTTGCTCATTTTAGCCACTCTGACTGGCGCGAGGTGGTATCTCAGTGTGGGTTTGATTTGTATTTCCCTGATGAGGAGGGATGCTGAGCATCGTTTCACGTGTCTGTTGGCCATCTGGATGTCTTCTTTGGAGAAGTGTCTGTTCATATCTTCTGCCCATTTCTTCACTGGGTTGTTTGTTTTTCGGGTGTGGAGTTTGGTGAGTTCCTTATAGATTTTGGATATTAACCTTTTATCTGATATGTCATTTGCAATTATCTTTTCCCATTCTTTTTGTTGCCTTTTAGTTTTGTGGGTTGTTTCCTTGGCTGTGCAGAAGCTTTTAATCTTGATGAGGTCCCAATCATTTATTTTTGCTCTTGATTCCCTTGCTTTTGGGGATGTGTCAAGTAAGAAGTTGCTGTGGTGAAGGTCTCTAAAGTTTTTTTTTATTTATTTTGAGAGAGAGAGAGAGTGTGCATGTGCACACATGAGCAAGGGAGGGACAGAGAGAGGGAGACCGAGGATCCCAAGCAGGCTCCGAGCTGTCAGTGCAGAGCTCGCCACAGGGCCCAATCGCTCCAACTGTCAGATCATGATTTGAGCCGAAATCAAGTCAGATGCTTAACTGAGCCACCCAGGAGCCCTTGTCTTAACCTTTCTAAATCTCCATTTTCTCATCCATAAGATGGAAACAGTACTTTAATAACAGTTATAACAGTGAGATGAGTTGTTTGTGTAAAGTGCCCAGCTCAGTATAAGTTAGATTGGTTTTCTTCCCCAATTTCCAGCCCCTGTTTTCCTTTGCTGCGGGTTCTGCCTGGAACTCCTTTTGACTCCTTTTGTCTGATTTTTCTAAAAGTGTATCTTCTTAGCGTTTTTCTCTCTTGAACATTTTCCCCTTCCTTTAATAACTTCTTTGCCATCTCTTCCCCTGTCTTCCAAGGTATAATCCTTTCTATCCTGTGTTCTCTGCTTTTTATCCTATATTCTCCATCTGGTAGAACTCATTTATTCTTGTGGATCATTTTAACTCTAAGCTCTAGCTGAATTAAATCATCTTCATCTCAAACTTCACTCAAATAAACAGTCTCATCTTATTACCTTAAAAATTAGCTTCCTTTTGAGCCTCTCCGCCTTTTCTGCTAGTGGTACTATTATTGTCTTTACCCTGAAGACTTAAAAGGTTAGTTCTAATTTTAAGGAAAGTCTTGATTTTTATGTTTCTTTCATCCTTTGTAACCAATCAGGCGTACGCCTTCTTCTAACTTTGGCAAGTGTCTGAGTTTTGTCTGTTTCTTCCCACTGAGTGTCAACCATTACCCTTTCTTTACCACATTCTCAGATTACTGCATTAGCTTCTCTCTTCCTACTCCGTTCATGTTCAGTTGGTTTTTTTCCCCCCTTCTGGGGACCCAGCTCAGATTTCTGAGAATAATTTTTCCCTTGAAAAATACACATTTATATATAGATCTCTTGTAGAACTTCTCCTGAAGCCCTTAAATATGAACTTAGTAGTGATCTATTGTCTTCATTAAAAATCCATCCCTGATCTAGTCCCTGCATTTTAAAGTCATTCTGGACACTCCCGCCATTGTTCTCTAGTTGCAGTTCTTATACCCTTTGGCTGATTAAAGATCTGTGTTGACTCATATTCCCTAAGATCAGTTGTAAAAAGTCAGAGACATTGTAGATGATAGTGACTAATAGTTACTGAGTGCCTCTGGAAGCCAGACTTTTTCATATAATATTCCCAGCAATCATATGCATAAAAGATAGGTGGTACTAATACCATTTTTATAGAGTGGCCAACCGATTCTTAGGAGAAGTAACTTGCCCGAAGCTATATAACCAGTAAGTAGTAGAGGCAAGGTTTAAATCTGTGCTTAACTCCAAGCCCCAGAGGCTCCTGGGTGACTCAATCTGTTAAGCGTCTGGCTCTTGGTTTCAGCTCAGGTCATGATCTCACGGTTCATGGGTTCAAGCCTCGCATTGGGCTCTGCCCTGACAGCACAGAGCCTGCTTGGGATTCTGTCTCTCCCTCTCTCTGTGCCCCTCCCCCCTCACACTCTTTCAAAATAAATAAACATTAAAAAAAACAACAAAAAATACTCCACACACCATACAAACTCTTTAGATGTCCAGTTGCTGTTGCTTTTCAAAATGAGTTCTGAGAAGCTTCTTGAGGGTGGGGGAACCACGTGGCTGCTGTCCACTTCTCCTCCCCTTTCCCTTCCCAATAAGAATGGCTCCCAGCTTCACTGCTCTGTTATGAAATTTCATTTGAAAAAAGAATCTAATGCCTAAGTAACATTTGAAGTTTGCAAGCCATTGATACTTTCCCTTTGTGGTCAGTGAATTAGGATTTACAAAGGGATCTAAAATGAGTCCTTTCTTGTAGCAAAATAAGTATTAATTTTTACTCGTTTCATCACTTTTATTTCAGAGTGAGATAATTCGAGATAACACTGGAATTTTGGAGTGTGTTAAAGAAGGAATTGGAAGAGTAATGGGCCTAGGAGTGCCTCATAGCAAACGACTGCTTCCGCTGCTTTCCTTGATCTTCCCCACCGTGCTGCATGGGGTTCTGCATTACATCATCAGCTCAGCCATTCAGAAGTTTGTCCTGCTAATTCTAAAGAGAAAGACATATAGTAGCCATCTAGCTGAGAGCACTAGTCCAGTGCAGAGTATGTTGGATGCTTATTTTCCAGAACTTATTGCTAACTTTGCTGCCAGTCTTTGCTCTGATGTTATACTTTACCCGTTGGAAACCGTTTTGCACCGCCTTCACATTCAAGGAACACGCACAATCATTGACAATACAGACCTTGGCTATGAAGTGCTTCCAATTAATACACAGTATGAGGGTATGAGAGACTGTATCAATACTATAAGGCAGGAGGAAGGAATGCTTGGTTTTTATAAAGGGTTTGGTGCTGTTATAATACAGTACACACTGCATGCAGCTGTTTTACAGATTACCAAAATTATTTACTCCACCCTTCTTCAAAATAGCGTGTGAGACCTCAGTTCCTGGTCAGTCTAAAAGACATAATCTGGATACTTTGTTATGAAATTATGAGGGATAAAAGTGAAATACTGGGGGTAAATGGATTAGAAAGTGAAACCGGTAGAAAAAGCCCATGCTGATTATATTGACCTTTCATTTTTTAAAAAGGCATATATTTTGGATGAAAAATATTCCAGATTTGAAAACTCAATGAAAGTTAACACTCACAAATTGACTTCTAGCTAGCGTAGCACTCATGCTAAACTGAAAAGATCCTGGGCAGAAGCAAAAGTTTGTCAGCAAACATAAAACAAAATTTCAGAGAGCTAAATTTATTCCAGCTGACATCAGTATTTATTAGAAATTTGTTTCACCTTCTAGATTGATATTGGTATGTCATTCTTAATCCAGTGTATAGTATCAGGATAGTTCACCTTTAAACAAATAAACTGTGTCATCTGTGACAAAGATGAGAAGGACTAGGTTTGGCACTGTGTAAGCAGGACTTTTTTAAATTGCATTGTCCCTGTACAGCTTCTTAATGGCTGAATACTTATTATATAAAGTCATTTATGTACACACATATAACTTGGAATTTCCTTCATCTCTACAAATTTTCCCCTCTTAGATCAGCTTATTTCATATAATGAATACTTCCTGCTTGGATACCAGAATAAAACATCAAAAAACAAGGTACCCAAAAGATGTAAGGCAAACAATATCCTCGTCCATATACAAACCCAGCGTTTTAATGCCAGCAACTGAAAATCCGTCATATGTTTATAAAGTTTGACTTGCTTACCTAGATAGGTGAATCATCAGTCTGGTTTTAGACCACTCCTAAAATAGAATAGAAAATAATCATGACAACTATTATTGTTTGCACATTTGCGAATTGTATACTGAAAGGAATGTCACTTGCCTTATATTTGTGAATGATTTGTCTAGAGGAGAAACCATTAAAATTCACATGGGAATTTGTGCCTCTTGCTTTTTGTATAGTCATCAGTTTTTATTTTCTTCTAGTTTTTGTTTATAGTTTGATTCTCCAAACTAGATCTACATAAAGGGAAGAGCAAGTTTATCCTTATCACCTTTTATTTAAACTTGTTTGGATGAATAACAAAGGAAAAATAAAAACTTTAAAGGGGGTTTGTCCTTTTTATGACTGAAGAAAAGAAGTAAATCTCAGTATGTAAGAAGCAAAAACATTGTTATCAGTTTGTTAAAAAAAATTTTGCCTGTTAAAATGAAGTTGGTGGGTGAGGTTCTTTGTATAATAAAATAATAAGTATTTGATCCAAACTTAAACATTTTAAAGTTTCATTTCCTTATGTGAGTGATCCCAGTTTTACTACTAACCATCTAGCACACTGAAACTCAGTGACTTTGCACTGGTGGTGTCCAACCTAGAACGTATACGGACTGAAATTTACTTGCTGAGTGTCAGCAAAACAGTTATTTTTTTGTAATTAATAGTTTTAGAACCAAAAAGCCATATCCAAAAAGTGTCCGACAGTATGTTAAGTAGCAATTTTCTCTACAATCTTATGCGGTAAGTGTGTGGTTTTTTGTTGTTGTTGTTTTTAAAAAAACAAAACACATATAAGTTTTTATTTTTTAAATTCCACCAACAGGGGAAAATAAAACACCACTGATCACATGTTGTACTTTTCAGTTAATTTTTTGGGTTATGGTTTACTTTGTCCTACCTGTGACACCTAAATTGTTTGCAATGCTTTGAACTGCTAAGTAAAGTTTTAGATGTTTATAAACTGTCCAACTTCCAGCCATTTTTATTATAATCAAAGAAGATGGTTTCAAACATGAGTAAACCAGAAAATAATCAAGTTTCAGAAAATTTCTACAACAGAATCTGAATGGAATGAAGTATTTACTAGTAAAACTCAATGAGATCTTTAGTTAAAAATTAAAATATTTCAAGATTATTTGATGGAGGTTAGTGTGAAGATTCAGTTATATAAATCTGTCTCAGAATCCTTACAAGACTAATAGACTGAACTACACACAAGTAAGGTTGATCTTCTCTTTGGAGAAAATGCAAATTAAAATTGGAATGTGGCGAGTAAAATTCTAATTGTTTTTACTGCCATTCCAAATTAGTTGAAATATAAAAATTCTTAAAATTTGAGAACTTAAATGCTGGCCAAATATATTCAAATGAATTTAGAAAGGAGTAAGGGAAATACACATTAGGCACACTCTTTCCCTTTTAAAAATTGCTCTCTAGCATATAGTTGCCAAAGCCAAATATCCATTGGCTGCATTTTTTTAAGATGATAGTAGCTCAGACTATTTTAAAATTCAGTGTGATTAACAGTATTATGAATAAGATCCTATTAAAATGTTCCAGAGGCCCAATGGTCCTCTTACAGAAGCCAGATTTTGGCCATGGAGCTCAATTATGATATACTTGCTTTACACCATAGGATTTCTTAATGAGAGTCAAACAGTCTGAAAGTGATAGAGTTAAAAACTGAAAAGCCTGGTAAATACGGAGTATGTTAAGCGAATTTATTAATTGACTTAGTACATTTGCATGTAAATTTCTTTTCCTTGAGCTACGTTTCTTTATTTTATGGACCCTTGAAAAATAACCCCTAGGTTTTTAAAATTTACTGAAGCCTCCAAACTCCCAGCACTAGATGTTACAAATAGTAAAAAACAATCTGATTTCAAAATGGCTATGGTTTGGGAGATTTGGTAAATTCAGCAAGTGTTTCCAGAAACAAAACTGAAGACAGAAGAAGTCTCACTTTTGCAAACATGCCTGACTACGCACAGCTGTCTTTTCAGCCCTTGCTTTGTTACAACTGCACAAAGCATTCCCTTTCCTGACTTGGCTTGCATGCTTCAATATTTCTATCCGTGTATCCATACATCTGCTTGGAAAATAAAACACACTGCATTGCTATTTGTTTTTTTCAGCTGAGATTGTGGAGGGTATTTGCCCTCAGTTTGCTTAACTAGATCTTTTGGAACATGAAAGACTATTCGCCAGCTCTTGAAAAGGTATTAAGGTTTGAATTAATTATTTTCAATAATATATAAGCAAATAAAATCCCCTTGGCAGCAATTCACATTGCAGTAGAACTTGAGTGATATTTTGGCATTTATGCTTTCTCTTCTCTTTAAAATAGCTGCACATCTCTCTTGCTCTCTCTAATATAAACTGGATGTGTAATGTCTGTTAAGTCGTTGAGTATCACTAATATGATATCAAGTTGTGTAGCAGAGTAACAAAAACTTGTGATTTAACAATGACTCTTACGCAGTATTACCTCAGCTAGATGAGGTGTTTGTGTGCGTGTGTTTAAGTTGTTTTTGTCTAGTATTTTAAATGTTTTCAGTAAATTGTGTAATATGAAAAGGTTCAATAAAATGTTGAAAATAAAAACAGTGTATTTCTCTTACTGATGCTAGAGAACTACTCAGGCTTCTGGTGAAAGAAAAGTTATTTTTTTGTAGGTAGAAATGAAGATCAGGAAAAATACATGAAGTTGAACTTTTTTTCCCACCACTTAAAAAATCCTGATGTGTGATGTGGCTCATGAAATAAGTAACATATTTTCTAAAATAAGGTTTCATATGCAGTATATTCTGTAAAAGTCTTCCACATTCCCATATTTAACCCTCACAACAGCCTTCAGGTATTTTCTGAGTAGTTCTGTTGAGGGAAGAAATAGAGAGGTTGTGACTTCTCCAGTGTTAAGTAACTGAGGGGAGTGATGACACCAAGACGGCAAGTATTCACTTCCAAACTTGTGTCCCTCCACAGAAACTTAGAAAAAAACAATCAGAAACTCAGAGCCAACTTTGTCAGAACTCTAGAAAACAAGTTCATAACAACCAAGTGAATGCAGTATCAAGAAGAAGGAGACTTAATGGTAGGAAAGCTCTGTGGTGTTTTTTGCTTGCCTTTACCCCCACTGCCCTCAGAGTATCTGTGGGAGCCCATCAGCCACCGTGGGACATAGCCCTTAATTCTGGAAGGAATAAAGGAAATGTTATTTGCAAGTTACTGTGTTTATCCATACTAACCTCTCTAGGGGCTACCTAAAAAAATAATGCAAGGTTTCCATCTTTTTTCCATAACTGGACCTCCACTCAGTTAAGAAAAGTGGTAGGCATTCCTTGAAAACATTGTAATGTTGTTGAGAAAAACCTCAGCCATTTAGGGCAAAGAATTACAGTTGAGTCATACAAAGGTCTGTCTATAAAGCCAAGGAGGAAAGGCCAGAGAGAGTTGCTTTGGGGAATTCAAAAGTCATCATGTATACGAGGGAATTTAGAAAGCCACGCACATGCTCAGGACAGGAGGCATGCTCAGAAAAGAACTGAGAAGACCCTCAGCAGAACTATAAGCTCAATGCAAGTGGGAAGGGAAGGATGAGTCAGAGTTGTAAATGGCCTGGCTAAGTATTAAAGGGGTGCTCCAACACACAGCCAATCCACAAAGTAAAGCAACTAACTAAAGCCAGAAATTGAACCTAGTCTTATACCTAGTTCAGTGTCCCACCATAATGGGACCTCTCAAAGTCAGGAATAGATGGTCAAATAATATCTGCTCTTTAGGAAAAGAGTGGTAGTTAACATTTTTGAGCACGTAGTATAATGGCTGGATCATTAATAACTTAGATGTGTTATAAATTCCCTAGAGCATCCTTATAAAGTAGGTCTAACAGTATCCTCATTTTATAAATGCAGGACCTGCAGCTGGGAGGTTAAGCCAAGATCACACAGACAGGAAGAAGAATAACTAGGATTTACTCCAGGACTTGCTCAATTCTTACACTCCTTGGCTGGTCATGAGACCAAAGTTTGCCTTGCTTTAAGTAGTGACATCAACTGAAGGATTAAAGGACACCAGTGTTCTCACTAATTGATGAATTGTTTCTTAGCTTCATCTGTCCTCGGTCTATAATGGAAGAGTTCTTTGGGGGGTCCTTCAAAGTCCTCACCATCACCTTCCCTTCGTAGGTTGGAAACATCTTCTCCCTTTCTCTTTGAGCTTCCATAGCCTCTTCATTCTTCCTTCATTCTTTCTTGTGACTTACAGACTTTCTACCTTGTAGTTATAAGCGAGCACCCCTTAAATCCTTTATCTTTATTGTAGACATCATGTTTTCTCCAACTCTTACTACATAAACACATACATAGACATAATAAATTACATGGCATAATAGATGTTGAATGAACAAATGAATCCATAAAACTGTGCACCCAACCTTGTCTGTATATTTTGAAACATTCCTTTTTAGCTTAGAATTTCTTTTTTTTTTAAATTTTTTAATGTTTACTTATTTTTTGAGACACAGAGAGAGACAGAGCAAGAGTGGGGAAGGGCAGAGAGAGGGAGACACAGAATCTGAAGCAGGCCTCCGGCTCTGAACTGACAGCACAGAGCCCGACGCGGGGTTCAAACACACAAACCGCAAGGCCATGACCTGAGCCAAAATCAGATGCTTAACCAACTGAGCCACCCAGATGCCCCTACCTTAGAATTTCAACACTGACAGTGACCTTTGGAAATCATCTTAATTAAAACTCTCATGTCACAAATGCATAAAACGAGTCCTCTAGATGTTTAGTGGTTTTGTTAAGTTCATAGAATCACAGAGCTGGAGACCTAACCCAGGTCTTTGTAATTCTGGTCTAGTCATTTTCTCCTACATCATCTGCCCCTTCCATTCACTCCCTCCCTCTTTTCTAGACAGACATTATCTATACAAATATACACCCGCAAGTGAGCTCTGTGGCACTTGATAGACCCTACTTTCAAAAAATACATATATGGGGGCACCTGGGTGGCTCACTTGGTTGAGTGTCTGACTCTTGATTTTGGCTCAGGTCATGGTCTCACAGTTGTGAGATCAGCTCAGAGCCTGTTTGAGATTCTCTCTCTCTCTGCCCCTCCACTCTCTGTCTTTCCTTATAAATTTTAATATTAGCATAG